CAGGCCAGAGGATGCTGCCTGCATCCCCCACCATGTCATTTTCATATTTTTCTGCATCCGTTGTCCTCAATTTCCTAAAATGCCATTACTCTCCATCTCATAAACACATGATAAGAAAGCCCAGGTTATGAATTCAGTGTTGGGGTTTGTGGGACATTTTTAACCCCTTGGTTAGTTCTGAGGACCTTGGTGGCTCCTGAATCAGTGGAGCCAATGACTTGGGAGGAACTTCTGGCTCGGGGGCGGGCGGGGGGGGGGTGGGGGGGGGGGGGGGGGGGGGGGGGGGGAGGGGCAGAACCTGAAGGAGAAACCTGATAAGGCAGAGGATTGGCACTTACCATCATGATCAACTGGGACTGATAAGAGGATATAGCAATGCATGTTATTTTAGCAAAAACTTGTATACATGAGATGAAAACTACACATAGGCTACACATGGACCACACCCTTAAGCTGAGGCCTGAAAGGAAGGCTAAGGATGTCAGCTGTCTGGTGAGACCAAATGAAAGTGACCTCTTCCCCATCCATGCATGTATTTCTCTTTTTCTTTTTCATTAGTTTATGTCTATGAATGCATATATTTATAATTTCATCTTAAAAATCATTAAGAGCCTATTTTAAGCCAGGGTGTGATGGTACATGTCTTTAATCCCAGTACTTGACAGGCAGAGGCAAGCGGATCTCTGAGTTCGAGGACAGCCAGGACCACACAGTGACACCCAGATTTGGGCAGTGATGGAAGTTCTGTGCTTAGCAACCACACAGAGCACCTTCATTGGCATTAAAAGGTGGGCTGGAATTTCACTGAACCTGGTACAATCAAAACAGTGACCTCCCAGGGTCACATGATCCCCAATACTGTAAACCTCCAGAGAGGTTTCCAGGATTGCCAGGCAGCATGGCTCTGGATCAGTTCTTCTAATGGAGCAAAATAGAGAAGATAGACAAGAGATACTGTCCTTTCTCCTTCCATCCCTTGGAAGGGGTCTGAAAATCAGAAGCAAAACCTGCTGTGTGTCTTGCTGGCCACAGACCTCGAGCAAGTGTTTCAACCTCTTTGAAGTATTTGCTGAGTTACGATGGGGAGCTGGTTCCTGATACACAAGGCTGAGGTGAGGATGACAAACAGCATGGAAGGAGTTAGACATAGCTGTCTTCAGGAGCACAGGATAAGTCATAGGGGCTGGTTTGTCATGAGGAAAGAGCACAGGCATCCACAGTGCCCTACAGTGGCTGAGTTAGCCGGAGGAGATGAGCCTCACAGAAGGCACTTTAGTGCAGGCTGACATCCGAGGATGTCATGAGGACAGTACACTTCTGTAGAGTCATCCTACATTCACCACCCAGGCTTGAGCGAGAACACAGAGAACACAGAGAGATCACAGAGAACACAGCTTCTGTGATCTCTTCATTTCTCACATCCAATGAGGCTTCATATGCTACTATATTTTCCTTATAAATCAAGTCCTACAATTATTTGCAGATTTAAATAAATCACATCCAGAATTTTTGCCATTGAACCAGAAGAATTGTGCACACCCTCCTCCACAGATCTGTGTTAATTTAGTGGATTTCTCCCTGGAATGCCACAACCATGTGAATACCAGACTTCCTATGCACTTAGGACCACCTCCTTCCACAGCCCTCAGGAAACATCTTGGCTGAAGCAAAGGAATGTGAAACCCAAGACAGTCTTGTTCCACCCTGAAGAAAAGAAAAAGAAAAAAGAATTCATTACCTGTGGTAGAAGTGCAATTCGACCAGACAATTTGTCTGACGAGCTATGGGTGAGCTGTGAGACACAGAGAGGTCAAGTCAGGAGCCCTGAACTGTACTGGAACCCTTTTGAGCTCCTAGCCACACCTTCTGTTGCATAGTAATTCACAATTCATCAAGTGCTTCTACAACATCTGAATGGAGAATGGAGACTAATAAAAATGAACCAACCCCTTCCACACAGACCTTAAGACGAACACATCCTCCCAATGCTTAGATTCATTTCATCTTTTTAAGTCTTTACATTGGTGTTAACTCTATCTTCAAATGAAAACAAACAAACAACGGGACAGCAGAGTTAAGTAATATAGCTCAAAAGAGGAAGCAAAGATAGAACCTTGGATTTTACAGGACTATTTGTTTTTCCTTTGTTGCACCATCCCATTTAAACTTGACTCCAGTAATCACCAGGGATGACTATTAGAGGCCCCACTAAAACAATGATTTATAAGCTAGGCATGTAATTGTACTACTCAGGAAACTGGGACTGGAGAGTTATAAGTTCAATCCCAGCCTGTGCTACAAAGAAAATTCAAGGATAGCCTGGATTAAGAAGTAAAACTGTCTCAAAAACAAAAACAAACAAAATAATAGTGATTTTTAGATAGTGTAGGCTGCTATGTGGAGGGGAAGTCTCAACCAAAAGCTCAGAGTTTGCCAAGCAAGGTCCCCATCCTTGAATCATGTAGGGAAGACTACTGTCAGCCAGAGTTGCCTAGAAGGTCCTATATCTGCAGGGAGGGGTGTCTGACAGGGCCCAGTCCAGGCATGCTACACTGGGTTAGTATGGGTCAAATATGTAACTATCCATCTACAGATAGCTAGGAGAGCAATACGAATTATTCTCTTTTTTTTAAGCTGGAAAATAACTTTATTTGTTCCAGGGAGTTAGCTAGAGTTCTCTCAGAACTTCTGAGACTGCTTCTTGATGCCAGCAGCCTTAGTGACCTTGAGTACATTGAAGTGCACCATCTTGCTCAGAGGCCTGCACTCTCCCACGGTGACAATGTCGCCAATCTGTACATCCCTGAAGCATGGGGACAGGTGCGCAGACATGTTCTTGTGGCGCTTCTCAAAGCAATTGTACTTTCGGATGTATTGGAGATAGTCCCGACGGATGACAATGGTCCTCCGCATCTTCATCTTGGTCACAACACCAGACAGGATCCAACCTCGGATGGAGACGTTACCAGTGAAGGGGCATTTCTTGTCAATGAAGGTGCCCTCGATGGCCTCCTTGGGCATCTTGAAGCCTAGACCGATGTTTTTGTAGTACCGAGGGAGGTTTTCCTTGCCAGTTTCTCCCAGCAGAACACGCTTCTTGTTTTGAAAGGTTGCCGGCTGCTTTTGGTAAGCACTCTCGGTCTGAATGTCCTCCATCTTCCCGGCAGCCCGAGGAAAAGAATGAATTATTCTTTTTAGTCCATACCACACAACTCATGTTCACTATGTGGTGTTCACAAGTACCACACACTCCTTGGCCACACAATCAACGGCAGGTTGTTCAGATCCCATAGAGCAGTGGTTCTCAACCTTCCTAATGCTGTGACCCTTTAAAACAGTTCCTCGTGTTATGGTGAACCCCCAACCATAAAATTATTTCATTCCTACTTCATAACTGTAATTTTGCTACTATTATGAATAGTAATGTAAACATCTGATATGCGTGACATCTGATATGTGACCCCCCCAAAGGGGTTGAGACTTACAGGTTGAGCACTGCCGCCATGGAGGGTCTTCATCCACAAAGCTACTCTCCCACACATGCTGGATCCCACACACAAGCGAGCCCTGATACTACTATTACTGAAAGATAACACTGACACCCCCCATCTCTGCTGTTACCTCTCAGTCCACCCTTGCCATGGGTCACTGACCCACCACAACAACCTCCTAGTTAGCATCTGTTTCTATGCTAAGGACCATTCACCACACAGCACCAGGCAATCTTACTAATGGCTTTGAACTTCATTTAGTGAAATCTAAACTCTGAATGCACAGCACATGATCTCTGAAGTCTCTGTTTATCTGACTCTACCCACTTGAACTTGTTTTTCCTCAGAACTAGGGCTTCTCAGAAAATGGAGTCTGGAACAGCAACATCACCAACACCAGGGCATCCAGTTACAAACACAGACTTCTTGGCCCTACCCCTAACCTTTGGAATCAGATCTTCCATGGTCAGGGTCCCAATGAATACTGGATGACCTGATTTTTGTGGACCACTGATCTAACCCACATTTATTCTGTATCCCTTACTCAGGACCTTTGGCATTACTGTTGCCTATACTTAAAATCCATGTGCCCAACTCTCCTGAGTCACTCCTGATGTGGTAAGCATTTTCCTGCCTTCTGTTTATCTCTCACTCAATGAATGTGCAAACTAAGAAGAAATGTGGTTTCAAGCCTGCTTGCTAGTTTCCTGAAACAGGTTCCCTTCCACACACCATTGAACACATGCATGAGTACAGAAGACACCTGCTTCCACCAACCATACATAGGAAGTTCATTCTATGTCACAGATAAGGAAAGTAATGGGCTAGATTTGTTTGTCAAACTTGATGCATTAGGAAAGTGAAGACCTGCTAATCCACTGCTGCCTTAGTTAGGATTTCTATTGCTGTGAAGAAACAACATAAGCACAGAAACTCTTAAAATTGTGGCTGACTTACATTTCAGAGGTTTAGTCCATTGTCATCATACATGATGGCAGCAGACAGTGGTCGTGGTGCTGGAGAGGTAACTGAGTGGTCTACATCCAGATTGGCAGGCAGCAGGAAGAGAGAAACACTGGGCATGTGCCTGGCTTGAGTATCTGAAACGTAAGAAAGCCCATCCCCAGTGACACACTTCCTCCAACAAGGTCACACCTACTCCAACAAGGCCACACTTTATAATAGTGCCAGTCCTATGAGCCTATCGGGGTCATTTTCATTCAAACCATCATTATTGCCAAGTATTGCCAACCACACCTTCTGAGAAAACCACTTTGACCAACCCTTACCATCTAGCCAAACCCAAGGCAGTACCATAAAATGAGACTTATAAAGACCGTTCTCCTTCATCACTGGATGGGGCCCAGATGTGGAGATATGCAAGTAACAGACATCTGCAGATGACTGGCCACCTGTGCCTGTCTAGTACATCTGACTTTAGTGGCCCGCCTTGACATCCTTATTTGGTAAAAAACCACAGTTTGGGCTTAAGGATTTTTTGCAAATACAGAAGGAAATGGGAGGGACATGTTATGAAATGGTATTGAAAAATTGCTTGGACTTGGCTTTGGTATTCAGATGACCTAGGAGTACAGCATAAAAGGTTTTGAACAGTTTTCTGCTTTGATCACACTGTGATGTTTAACTTTGGCTGATTTTTCCATTTTTAACATTCCTCTTCATCCTGCACTTTTTCAACTACAATTTTTCTTTCTTAACTTTAAAAGCACTGACTCTTTTCAGAAGGAAAAAAAAAGCCTGAACTCAAGTCTTTCTGAGAATTACTTAAGAAGCAACAATTGTGCTCTGGGAACTTGCCAGATCCAGTGTTGCAGACTTCGGGAAGTAATCCTAATTCCCTGTATAGACTTCTCTTTGGTTGTTTGAAGTCCACACTTGCATTCTGCTCTAATGGCTTGAAATCTGAGACTTCAGGAACTGCAAAGCTATTGTTCCCACACTCAAGGATTTCAAATTCAGAACAGCTGGACCCAAATTGCCTCTGCATAGTCTTCCTTTTGCATTATCTTCATTTCTTTCTGTAACCAACTGACTAGATGCTTTTCTTTTCTACAATTGAATACAAGTCAACAAAACCTAATAATAATTAGGGGTGCCAACAGGGACTAAAATATAACAGGACACTTCTATCTAATTGTGGCTCATTGCATCTCACAAAAGGAAAGCCATGCATTCAAAGCTGTGGTGCATTGATTTTATGACCTACTTTTCCTGAGTTATTTCAGAGACCCTGTAACATCCTAGGAAGCATATGCAGAAAAAATTATAGTCACAATTAGCTATTGGGATTAACTTTCCATGATGTTATGTGGCCTGACCAAGAAAAGAAAAGATCCTATTACACATATTGGGACTTCACTTAGAGATCTAATGTGGCCTGTTGAGTGGCTCAGTGAACACTGGGACTACTTCAGTCTGCAATTCCTCTTAAGTCACATTCAGTTTGTAAGCTCAGAAGAGTTATCTCCTTGAGGTCATCATACCTCAGGCTCCAGTAGTGAGTGTGGCCTTTAGCCAGTGTGTCAAAATGAGATGAACTTGAGATGTGGCTTTAGTTACTGTAAGGATCCTGGTGTTTGATAACTGTCCCTGCCAGGTGGATGAAACCTTAGGGAATTCAAGCTGCAACATGTAATAGTTCTTTCACAATATTTCTGAGCTTCCAACTGTTACTATTGACAATCGTCTTCTGACTGCATCCCTGGGTTCCTTGACCTGTGCTGGGCCCATTGCCATCTCACCTGCATGAGACATGACACTCTTTGGTCTTAGCCTCAAGCTTCCTTCAACTGTATTTAATCATCTCAGAGGATTTAGAGCTCGCCTTGTTTCCCTGGCAACCCCTAAAGCAATTTACACCATTTGACATCTGGTGGCATTTCCGTCTCTAACGGCAGCTGTGCCAGCTGTCCTAGCTTTTCTTATTCCCTTTGAATAGCAGCTTGCTTCAGTTTCCCCAACCTGTAAGACTCATGTTTCCTTCTCTAGTTCAGCTCAGTTCCGGTGATTCCCCCTGGTGAATCTGAATCATATCTAGGGTCTCAGTTGACAGGTTTCCTCTTCTCATGATGCCTCTACAATTACATACACCACCCAAAGAACTTGATCCAATTAAAGTAACCCAATGAAAGGTCTTTTTGAACTGCAGCCCCTGTCCTATGGCAGTGAGATGATGATGTCCAGAACTGGGTAACCACTTCCTCAACAGAAAATAGTAGAATATAGGATACTGTCTTAGTTACGGTTTCTATTGCTGTGAAGAGATGCCATGACCATGACAACTCTTATAAAGGAAAAATCATTTAATTGGGGTGGCTTACATTTTCAGAGGGTTAGTCCATTATTATTATGATGGGACATGGTAGCATGCAGGGAGACATGGTGCTGGAGAAGAAGCTGAGAGTCCTACATCTTGACCCATGGGCAGCAGGAAGTGATCTATGACATATTGCATGGGAACAAAGATTCACTAGACTCAGTATAGGTTAAGTCAAGTTTATTCCAGGAGCTTGCACTTACACAAGAGGTGGGTTATCACCACAGGTTCCAGCTCCAAGGATCCTCCCAGGCTGTTCCCTGTGACCCAACCAGCCCCAAGAGAGACAGCCTGTCCCTGACCCCATACTAAATCCCTTAAGCTCACATATGTGCCTGTGACCACGCCCATTTGGTGCATAGTAGATCTTTCACTACAGTGACACCAGATGTAGACTGAGCATAGCACACCACAAAGCCCACCCCCACAATGACACACTTCCTCCAACAAGGCCATAACTACTCTAGCAAAACCATAACGCCTAATAGAGTGACATTCCCTATGAGCTTATTTGGGCCAATTACATTTGAACTACCACAGATACACAACAAAAATAGTGTATGTGGTTGTGAGGGGAGGGTGACACAGAAGTGAGCCTGTCATACTGAAAGTTGTGTCTGTATATGAAGTTAAGCCACAGTTCCAACTAAACGGTCTGAACCTGACTCTGAAATCCCTGATTTGTACCAGAAAAAAAAGTGCCTTGGACAAAAGCATATTTAAAAATAGACACGGCTTTCCAGAATCAGGAATAATGAAGAAAGGAGGTCAAAGGTCCTATACCAACCTGTCAGAAATCCTTGATGTATTGAATGTTTCAGCCTCTTAATAGGAACAAAAGAAAGTCACAAAACAGTAGTGAAAATATTTAACATTAGAAGGTCACCAACTATTGTTGAAAAGTGCATTCTTTTGACTTACAAACTCTTCCAGCATCAGCAGGATTAAAGAATACAAAATGAGAAGGAGTGCACCCTAGAGGTCAGACAGATAGACTTCATACTTCAGAAAAGTATATGAAATGAGATCATAATACACAGTTAGATAAGTATCTTTCAAACAAATATGGGCATAGTTTTTGTAAAAGTTGTGGAGGATAAAGCCAAAGTATTGCATTGAGGAAAATTGGTACCATCCAAAACATATTAGAAAAAAACTGAACATCACATAGCCACTTCATGAAAGTAGCAGCAGAGCAACATAAACCCAAGGCAAACAGCAGAAATGGCATGATGGAGATTAGACCAGAATTCATTGAAGTTAAAAACACAAAAAGAAGATATTTAATTGAATCAAAAGTTGATCGTCAAGCCAAGTATAGTGGCATAT